CCTCTGCCAGGGATGAGAGCAGGAGCTCGGAAGCTGGCCTCCCATTCACAGGCAGCAGCTGCTGGGCACCTCCTGCACACCAGGCTCGGCTGGCCCTAGGTGCTGGGGGTCTGGGAGAGAACAGTGCAAAGTCCCTGCTTCACGCAGGTGACAGTGCAGCGGGGGACAGATGACAACCAAGGTGGTGAGCCACGCGGGAGGCTCTCGAATCTCCAGAATGCAGCCTGTCGCTATCAGTGCTTCCGTGCCAGCCCCTCCTGACTTGTGTGTGTGTGTGTGTGTGTGTGTGTGTGTGTGTGTGTGTAAGGGAGGAGTTGACGAAAATGAGGAAGCCACACAGAACTCAAGCCATGCTTCTCTCATCATCCTTCAGTGCCAGGCCCTGATGTGCATGTGCATGTGTGCGTGCATTTGTGTGTGTGTGTGTGTGTGTGTGTGTGTGTGTGTAAGGGAGGAGTTGACGAAAATGAGGAAGCCACACAGAACTCAGAGCCTTGCTTCTCTCCCTCAGACCTGGAAACTCCGCTTCTAGGAATTTATCCCAAGGGCTGAGTCCAGAACATCAGGAAGAATGAGCCAACAGATGTCCCCCAGCGTTGTTCATATCAACTCAGAAACTAGAAATGAGGAGGCTAGGTGCTGTGGCTCACACCTGTAATCCCAGCACTTTGGGAGGCTGAGGTGGGCGGATCCCTTGAGGCTGGGAGTTCAAGACCAGCCAGGCCAATATGGTGAAATCCTGTCTCTACTAAAAAATACAAAAATTAGTTGGGCTTGCTGGTGGGCACCTGTAATCCCAGCTACTTGGAAGTCTGAAGCAGGAATATCGCTTGAGCCCGGGAGGCAGAGGCTGCAGTGAGCCGAGATCGCACCACTGCACTCCAGCCTGGGCGACAGAGCAAGATTTGGTCAAAAAGAAAAGAAGCTGGGCATGGTGGCTCACACCTGTAATCCCAGCACTTTGGGAGGCCAAGGTGGGCAGATCACCTGAGGTCAGGAGTTCCAGACCAGCCTGGCTAACATGGTGAAACCCTGTTTCTGCTAAAAATACAAAAAATTAGTCAGATGTGGTGGCACGCGCCTGTAATCCCAGCTACTTGGGCAGCTGGGGCAGGAGAATCGTTTAAACCCGGGAGGTGGAGGTTTGCAGTGAGCCGAGATTGCACCACTGCACTCCAGCTTGGGCAACAAGAGCAAAACTCTGTCTAAAAAAAATTTTAAAAAGCAAAAAATCCATTTACAAATCAGCAGCAATTGTGCAATGCAGTGCGCATGGGTGGGGAGGGTGTCTGAACGCAAAGACACTGAAGCAGAGGGGAGCCACGTGTGGCTGTGGGTTATGGTGGGTTCTGTCCTCTTGTTTTTACTTAGGTGTATTTTCTAGTTTCTCTCAATTAATTTGTATTTATTCTGTAAGAAGTAATTAAAAATACATTTATGCCTGTGTGCGGTTGGTTTTACCTGTAATCCCAGCACTTTGGGAGGCCAAAATAGGTGAATTGCTTGGGCCCAGGAGTTCAAGACCAGCCTGGGAAACATAGTGAGACCCTGTCTTCATAAAAAAGAAAAAAAATTTGGCCGGGTGTGGTGGAGTCCCCCGGTAGTCCCAGCTACTCTGGAGGCGGAGGCCGGAGGATCACTTGAGCCAGGGAGGTTGAGGCTGCAGTGAGCCGTGATCGCCTCACTGTACTTCAGCCTGAGTGACAAAGGGTGACCCTGTCTCTAAGAATGAAACCATTTATATAGACACAGGAAAGAGCCAGGAAGGTATTAAAACAAAATGTAAACAGTGGTTATTTATATCTGGTGACGGAACTGGGGTGATTTTTTCATTTTTTAATTTGGATAACTAAAAAGTTATTACTTTTTTTTGTTTTTTTGAGACAAGGTCACTCTGTCACCCAGGATGGAGTGCAGTGGTGAAATCTCAGCTCACTGCAACCTCTGCCTCCCAGGTTCAAGCGCTTCTCACACCTCAGCCCCCTGGGTAGCTGGGACCACAGGTGCATGCCACCACACCTGGCTAATTGTTGTATTTTTAGCGGAGATGGGGATTCACTGTGTGACTCAGGCTGGTCTCAAACTCCTGGGCTCAAGCAATTTACCTGCCTCAGTCTCCCAAATCATGGGATTACAGGCATGAGTCACTGTGCCAGGCTAAAAGTTATTACTTTTTAAAGAGCCTCTGGGCCGGGCACGGTGTCTTCCGCCTGTGATCCCAGCACTTTGGGAGGCTGAGGTGGGTGGATCACCTGAGGTCAGGAGCTCAAGGCCAGCCTGGCCAACATGGTGAAACCCCATCTCTACTAAAAATATAAAAATTAGCTGGGTGTGGTGGTGGGCACCTGCAATCCCAGCTACTCGGGAGGCTGAGGCAGGAGAATGGCTTGAGCCTGGGAGGCGGAGGTTGCAATGAGCCATGATCGTGCCATTGCACTCCAGCCTGGGAGACAGAGTGAGACTCTGCCTCAAAAATAAATAAACAAAATCATGAAGTGCCTGGGATTCCCCTTGATGTGGTCCACACCTCTTGCTGTCTGGGATGTGTCCGCTGAGGGAGGTCAAGGCCACTGAGCGAGCAAACACAAGCATCCACTCTCCTGGGCTGGACGAACACACCCTCCACCCTCTTCTCTGGAGGGGGTGCAAGAACCCCCGGTGGGAGCGATGAGACATGGAGGCGCCCAGATCCCTACTGATGCTTTTCACCCTTTGACGGCGCCCACCCTGGTGTGTGCTTTACCATGTACGTGATATACGCAGGGAACCGGCCTGTGTGTGACTTATCATAAATGAACCCACATCTGCTGGTGGCGCTCAGCACACATTTGTGTGGCACTGAGCTCCCCAAAGAGAAACGGGTCCAGGTTCCATGACGGGGACGGTGCCCCGGCCTGGGGCTGCTGGCGAGCGGCATGGGCACCTCCCCGACATTCCTGTGTCTGTGTAAATGGTTGCATTTTTAGAGACAGGGTGTCACGCTGTCACTCAGGCTGACGTGCAGTGGGGCGATCACGGCTCACTGCAGCCTCTCCCCGGCCAGGTCTCTAAGACGCGTCTCCCTGGCGTGCCGTCCCGTGCATTTGCTCCTTCTCCTCATTTCTTCCCCGCTAGGATGTGAGCTGCCCGGGGCCAGGGCTGGGCTTTGCCTGGCTGGGACACCACCCGGGACAGGGCTTGGCACAGAGCCGGTGCTGCTGGTGTCTGTTGAACGTCACGTGTGTAAGTGGGTGAAGGATGGAGCACAGGGAAGCGGGCAGGTGCCTGGGGGCTGCCCAGTGCGGAACGTCACCTGCTTAAGGGGGACGTGGACGGATCAGTGGGAACTGCAGCTGGGGAGACGCAAGGCAGACTCCAAGTACACTGGCAGAAATGGGAGCCTGTGAAAGGTGGGCCTGGACAGAAGGTAAAGGCGCTGCAGGAACAGGGGGCGGTCATGCCACCAGGCCTCTGGCATTTCTGGACCCCTTCACTGGCCCTTGCCCCACAGCCACCCAGGAATCTGGCTCTCAGGATAGTCAGATGGGAGTGGCCAAGTCCTCTCACCCCTTTCCAGGGACAGACCAGGAAGAAGAGCAGCTGCCCTTCTTTTTTTTTTCTGAGACAGAGTTTCACTCATTTTTTGAGACACAGTTTCGCCCAGGCTGGAGTGCAATGGCACGATCTTGGCTCACTGCAACCTCCGCCTCCTGGGTTAAAGCAATTCTCCTGCCTCAGCCCCCCAAGTAGCTGGGATTACAGGCATGTGCCACCATACCTGGCTAATTTTTGTTTTTTAGTAGAGATGGGGTTTCTCCATGTTGGTGAGGCTGGTCTCAAACTCCTGACCTTAGGTGATCCGCCCACCTCGGCCTCCCAAAGTGCTGGGATTACAGGTCTGAGCCACCATGTCCGGTCACAGCCGGCCTTCTTAGAGGAGCAGTTGGATCTGGAGAATTAGATCTGCTGGGGCTGGGACCTCTGGCACGGGCGTCCCCTTCTCTCCCGGCTTTAGAGCTGGGGCAGGAGGAGGCTTGCTTGGAGGCAGGGGTTGGACCAAATCAACCTGGGGTGATGATCCCCCCTGGGAATCACTGGCAATGCCTGGAGACATCGTTGGAACTGGGCATGGGGTGCTACTGGCATCTAGTGGCCAGAAGTGCTGTGAAACATCCTACAGCGCACAGGACAGAGTCCCCCACCCTGCCCCCCCAAGGGATGATCCGGCCTCAAGTGTCCATAGGGCAGAGGTTGGGAAGCCCTGCTTCCTAATAGCACAACGGTGGCCCACCCTCGCTTACAGCCTATCATAACCACGGTCATCAATAATCAGATGGCAGCTGCCCCATCCTGAGCACCAGCCACAGGCTGCCACGACGCCAGACACCAGAGCGTTCTCAGCCTCTCTGCTCTCCAATTCTCACACCAGCCCCAGGACATGGGGACGCAAAGCCTGCACTGCCTGCTCCACAACCACCATGGAAACGCCTCCCGTCCTCTGACCGCTCGCCGGGTGCCGGCACCCAGGCTAAAGCCCCGACAAGTACGAGACCCATCAGCCCTCACAGCAACGCCTCAATGCAGGGGCTCGCATCACCCCTGTGTTTCAGATGAAGAAACCAAGGCTCAGAATCATGCCGTCACCTTCCCAAGGCCACGCGAGGGTGTGGTGGTGCAGAGGGCACAGAGCTGCCCGTGGAAGGGTTGTTCTGCACAGCTCAGTGACCCAGGGTTCCACCTAGGTTGACCCGCCTGTCCCGTGCTGGGGGGCTGGGCAGGTGGCCTGCACTTGGGCCCCAACACAGTGGCTGGGAGACAGGGAGGGCTGTGCCCACAAAGCCCAGATAGCCTCCACTCCCCCTCGGGATGGAGAGGATGCCCACCTGCAAACCACATCCACAGGTGTCGGAGAAGGGGACGAGCCGGTGTGGCAGGCCCAGAAGGGACGTGATGAGCCACATCTGAACGCCTCCCCAGTCTGCCCCCACCCTTGGCCCCCTCCACCCGCTGGCCCTGAGTACCTGGATGCCGTTCTCCTGCAGGTTCAGGTACCGCGTGTTAACTGGGATGCTGGCCGGGACTTCAGCCAGCTCTCTCCGTGTGCAGATCACCCGGCTGGCCTGGTTGCTGCAGGAGCAGGCCTCGGGGCAGGAGGTGGCCGGCGGAGAGCCCCCTGCAGCGGCAGACGTCATGGCCACTCCACCTCCACCGGCCCCCAGGGGTGGGGAGAAGAGCCAGAGGAAGAGCAGTGCCCCGTGGGGCCAGGACATCCTACCGGGCGGCAGCGGGGGGCACGGGGAGCCGCGGGCACGCGCCATCCTCAATGTTCATGCTCCGCGTGGACACTGGGGGGCTGTGGGCAGGGGAGAGAGAGGGGAGAGACTCGGTGAGGGACAGGAGCCCACGCGGCCTGGGTGCTTGCCAACACCCGGGCAGCCCCAGCGCCACCTCCCTGCCCCATTGCCCAGGACCGAAGGGGTAGGGAGGCAGACAGCCGCCAAGGGACCCACCCAACAGGCTGGGGCAGGCTCAGGGAAGTACTGCCCGCCCTGCCCTGCACTGGCTCATCTCTCCATGCTGACAAGACTCTACACCCATTCTGCAGCAGGGAAAACTGAGGCTGGGGGAGAGTAAGTGCCTGCCCAAGGTCGCTCAGCCAGGAAGTGCAGAAGTCATCCAGATTCAAAACCCGGCTCTTTGCATGATTTCAAAAAGGTAAATACATCAGTCGAGTAAGAGAGAGACAGACAAGGCAAGGGGGCAGAAAAGGGAGAGCAAGCCAGGCTGAGAGGAACTTGCTCGCATCCCAACACCCGCCTGGTCCGCTCGCCACCTGCGTGATGCCTTAGGAGGTGGGTCCCAGCCTCCTCTCCCCTTCATTCCCTCCCCCTCTCCCTCTCCCCCTCCCAGGAGTGTCAGTGGAGAGCCACGTTCCCCCACCGGCTGCGCCCTCCGCTAGCCTGACAGACCCTCCGCTGCACACCCTCCTGTCACAGCCCACCCCGTCCAGGTCCTCTGGGGGCCTCATAGCAGCTTCCGACACTTGAGTCAGACTTGGGGGGGAACCTGAGGGACAGAGAGCCGAGGTGGCAGCCGAGGCAGCCATGGAGGTGACAGGTGCAGGCAGGTGAGGGCGGGCTGGGAGGCAGCAGGCTGAGGAGGGAGGAGACTGGAGCTTGTGGGTGAGGGTGGCTGGGGACCTCGGGGGTGGCATAAACTGAGGGGCCAGCAGCTGCGCTCCCTCCTTTGCCCGGAGACTGTGGGTGCTCCAGGCAGAGGCAGCCCCAGTGGGACTCGTGCCAGCTGGTGCCGCAGGATGGAGCTTGGCTCTCAGGGAGGGGATGGGGAAGGGAAGGGGGTCTAGGACTCTAAGCGGGTTCTCGGGGGGAGTGGGCCGTGGGGAGTAGGGTCCTCTGAGAAGTCACGCTGCACCTCCCCAATCTGTCCTGCCCCCCCATTTCCGTAGAACCAGAGGAGGAAAGGAGATGGGCTGGTCACAGCAGCAGCGATGAGACCAGTAATAATACTCGCGCCAGAACACCGGGTGAGCCCCACAATGCAGCAAACTCTATCCTGATCATCTCGCCGAAGCCTCACAATGATCGTAGGAGGGAGCTGTTAGGATGCCCAATTTACAGATGGGGACACTGAGGCACTTCGAGGGAAAATGGCCTGTGCAAGGGCACAGAGCAGGCCGGGAGCATGCAGAGGGGATACTCTGGCCCCGGGTCTACCCTCCAGCACCCAACCCTCCCTTGCACGCAGCATCTCTGAGTACACACAAATACACCCACGCCGGCGGGCTCTGCCCCAGCAGAGGCCAACCCCAAATCGGCCCCCAGAGACCTGGAGGGGAGCAGGTCACACAAACAGGCACACCAACTGGCTCACACACTCGGCAGGGACGCGGCACGCCCTCTCACGGTGGCCTCTCAGCCCCCACCCCCCCAGGCTACCCCCCCAGGCTACCCCCCCAGGCTACCCCCCCAGGCACATGGCCGTGTGCAGACACACAAAGTCACTCCCTCCTTCTGCAGTTTCCAAGACCATTTTAACCCAGATAAAAATGTGTGTGCATTCGTCTGTGTATCTGAGTGCGTGTGTAAGAGCAAAGGCTAGACAGAGACATGGAAAGACAGAGAGACACAGAGACAGAGGCAGAGAGAGGGGGAAGAGGGGGCTAGGGAGAGAAAGAGAGAGGGAGGAGAGAGAGGTTGATTCTGTTTTTCTCCTGGAGGGCTGGGGACGTGATCTGTGTCTGACTGAGTGTGGTGAGGGTCTCCGTTCTCCTGAATGGGAGGTTGAGGCCAGTCTTTATCCTGGGTCTGAGGCCCCCACCTCTTAAGACCCTACAACGACCCAGCCCACACGCTGTCAGCCAAGGGACTAGCCCAAGGTGCGGGGCCAGGATTTGAGGCTGGGGCCCTCGCCTGGCCCGTGGGAGCCCACAGTACCCATCCGGCCTCCAGGCCTGCGTCGGCTGAGTCTACCTCCGCATCTGTCCCCAGTTCTCCCGCTGCCAGCCCGCATCCCCCCACCCCCATCTCGGCTTCTGCAGCGACTCAGCCTCCCTCCTCTTCCCCCCCTCGCCCTCCGCCATCGCCCGTCCTTGTCTCCCCCCCAACCCCATGGTGGGGGACACTCACCCTGGTGGCTTGGCTTCCGCTGGGCCTCTCCCTGTGCCCAGGCCCCCCCCTCCACATGCCTCCAGCCAGCCGGGGTCTCTGCCTCCCCAGTTCTCCAGGGCTTCCCGTCGAGATGGTGTTGGGGGGGCGCAGGGGCTTCTTGGGTCTCCCTGCGCCCCCCCCACTGGCCTGTCGCCCTTCCCACCCCGGGGGGGGAGGCTGTCCTTTGGCCACTGCAGCAGTCCTCTCCTCCCCTCCCCGCTCGCCTCCTCCGATCTCCTTCCACCCCCTCTCCCACCTCTACCTCGACTCTCCCCCCACCGGCAGCCTCTTTTCTCTCCACCCACCGACCCCAGCCCCCCCAGCCCCCTCTTCTCTCTCCCTGCCCCTCTCAGTCCTCCTCCTCCACCTCTGGTCCCCGTCCGCCTCCTTTGGCCTCAACCCCCTCCGGAGCCTCCCCCCTCACAATCTCGCCTCCTGCGGGACCCCCAGGCCCCTTCTCTCCTTCTCCTCCATCTATTCCTCCCTCTTGCTCTCTCCCTGTCACCCTCTCATCGGCCCCGAGCCTGTCTCAGTCAGGTTGTCGGTCCGTCCGTCTGTCTTGGTCCCTTTCTCCCCGGCTCTGTCTGTCTCTCTTTCTCCGCGATTACAATTTCTAGTCACACGGCAGTGCAGAGCCAAGCTGTGCCTCAGCTCCCTCCCTCCCCACCCCTCCCTCCTTCTTTCTCTCCTTCCGAACGGGGAGGGCGCCTCTCCTCCCTCCTCCTCGGCCTCCCTTCCCTGCGCTGTCAGGGGGGAGGCCTCCCCCTCCCCCGCTAATCAAAGGCTCCGTTATCTAATTAACCCATTGGTTCTGGGCAGCCGAGAAGGCAGCCGAGGAAGGTCGGGGGAAGTGGGGGGAGGAAGGTTCCCGGCTGGGCTGCCCAAGGAAGGGGGGTGGTTGGGCCGTGCCAAGCCAGAGCCTCGTGGCACACAGACTGCCTCGTCGGCTGCATGACCAGGCTGGGCCACCACTGACCCCCTGCCCCCACCCACAGCCAAAACCACTCCTCCTGCATCGCACCCCGCACTGGGCCTAGGCACGCGATCTTGCCCAGGGTTTTCCTGCAGACGCCCCTACCCCAGAAACTCCCTCGAACCCCCACCACGCAACGCAGTCTTTACTCCAACCCCCCACACCTGATATACCAGCACCGTCACCCCATCCTGCAGCTCAGGGCCAGCCCCTCTTCGTGCCACAAAGACTCTCACCCCCAGAGGCACTCCTCTTCTTTGGACCTTATCCAGATCCTCACCCCCTGACACACTTCTGCAAAATCGTCAGCGCAGCCACCTTCATTCATTCAATGTATCCACCCATCCATCCGTCCACCATCCATCCATCCGTCCACCATCCATCCATCTGTCCACCATCCATCCATCAACCCATCCATCTGTCCATCCGTCCATCCAGCCAACAAATGTCTACCCGGTCCCTGCTATGTGCCAGACACTGGCCCAGGACCCCCAAGGGCCACAAAAGGCACATCCCCAGAGGCCTGGGTTGGAGTCCTGACTCTGCTGCCACTTCCTGTGACCCTCGGGCCAGTGGCCGCAGTTCCCTCCACTGTGAAACAGGGATACTGAGAGTCTCTGCCTCCTAGGGCCGCTGGGGGGATTAAATCGCCAAATCCTTGGTAAAGGGTTCTGTCTTCATAACATATGCGGAATCAGACCCTGGAATCAGAGGATCTTTCTCTCCACCCCCAGGGTACTTCCCTGGCCTGGCTCCCATCCCCCTCTCCCGGGTCCTCCCCCAATCTTCCCACTTCTACCCTCACCCCCATTCCCTGTCCATTTCCCACGGGCAGCAGGCAGTGAGAGGGACCCTGTCAACACCCCACGGACCCTGCCCTGCCTCGGCTCCACAGTCCCCGATGGCTCCTGTCCCACTCAGAGCAGAGGTGAGGACTTCACCTCGGTTTTCAGGCCCCCACTCCCCAGCCCAGCTCCATCTCTGACCTCACTGCCTGCCTCCTCCCCCTGCTACTCTGTTTCCAGAAGAGGCAGCGCACACCCCGGCCCCAGGGCCTTTGCACCTGCTCTTCCCTCTGCCTGAAGCCTCTTCACTGGTCATCCGAAGGCTCTTGCCTTGTTCTCTATCAGGTCTGTGCTCCGATGTTACCTTCTCAGTGAGGCTGTCCTGACCGCCCCGCATCAGACAGCACCCCTATCCCCCGCTCCAGAACCTTCTCTGTCTTGTGTTTCTCCGTGACATTTATCAGCGTCTGAGCTTTTTTATGCCCGTGCGCTTGAATGTGAGTTTCCCAAGGCCAATCACTTTGTGACTGATTCCCAGGACCCACGACAGTGCCGGGCACATGGCAGTTGCTCACCGAACACTGGGTGCAGGACGGATGGGTACGTTATCATCGCTGGGGGTCTGTTTTCTCCCACGCTCATACAACATCCCCACTCAGCCCAGGCCACACTGCAATAGCTGCACATTCAGGCTCCCAGCCCTGGACACCCTCGGTCCCCAGCTCCCCTTCCAACCTAGGAGGACTGCTGGCAGAGGCAGCACAGCTTTTTTTTTTTTTTTTTTTGAGACAGAGTTTCACTCTGTTACCCAGGCTGGAGTGCAGTGGCACAATCTCAGCTCACTGCAACCTCCGCCTCCTGGGTTCAAGCAATTCCCCTGCCTCAGCCTCCTGAATAGCTGGGACTATAGGCGCCCACCACCATGCCC